AAATTCCTGGCCCAGATGGTTTCACTGGAGAATTCTATCAATCATTCAGAAAAGACCTGACATCAATCCTATTCAAACTATTCCAGAACACAGAAAAGGACAGAAAGCTCACAAATTCATTTTATGAAGAAAGCATAACTTTGATACCCAAATCAGATAAAGACACCACTAGAAAGTAAGAAAGTGAAACTACAGACCAATATCCCTTATGAATACAGATGCAAAAAATTTTCAACAAAATCCTAGCCAACAGACTCTAACAACATATCGAAAAAAATAACATATCATGATCAAGTGGGATTCATAGCAGGTATTCAACCATTTTCTAATGGTTTCACATTAGAAAAACAATCAACATAATCCATTACATAAATAAAATAAAGGAAAAGAATCACCCGATCATATCAATAGAAACAGAAGAGGCACTTGATAAAATCCAACACACTTTCCCGATAAAAATTCTCAGCAAAACAGGAATAGAAGGGACATTCCTCAACATAATAAAGGGCATACATGCAAAACCAACAGCCAACATTAGTCTCAACAGAGAGAGACTGAAACCATTCCCCTTGCCAATAGGAACCAGACAAGGATGCCCTCTATTGTCACTTCTATTCAACATTGTTTTGAAAGTCCAACTTGGGACAATAAGCAAGCACGGAAAATCAAACACATCCAAATTGGTAAGGAAGAAGTGAAAAGATCCCTATTTGCAGATGATATGATCCTATACATAGAAAACCTAAAGATTCAGAAAGAAAACTAGTGGAACTAATCGAAAGATTTAGAATAGTGGCAGGATACAAGATCAACATACAAAAATTAGTTGCATTCCTCTACACCAGCAAAGAGATGTCTGAAAAGGAAATAAGAAAATCAATACCACTTACAATTGCTACCAATATATAAGATACTTGGGAATAAATCTTACCAGGAACACAAAAGAGCTGTACAAAGAAAATTACAAAACATTACTCCAAGAAACAATAAGAGATCCACAAAAACAAGTGAATACACTATGCTCATGGATGGGAAGATTGAACATTGTCAAAATGTCAATACTAACCAAAGTAATCTATGCATTCAATGCAATCCTGATCCAGATTCCATCAACATTCTTCAAAGATATGGAAAAACCAATCATTAATTTTATATGGAAAAGAAAGAGACCTCGGATAAGCAAAGCACTACTGAAGAAGAACAAAGTAGGAAGTCTCACACTCCCAGATCTCAAAACCTACTACTCAGTCACAGTAGTCAAAACAGCCTGGTATTGGTACAACACACACACAGACCAGTGGAGCAGAACAGAGAACCCAGAAATTGATCCATCAACCTATAGTCAGCTGGCAACCTATAGTCAGCTGATCTTTGATAAATGGCCGAAATCCATTAAATGGGGAAGAGATGGTCTCTTTCACAAATGGTGCTGGCAATACTGGATATTCATTGCAGATAAGTGAAACAAGATCCATACCTCACACCGTACACAAAAACTAACTCCAGATGGATCAAAGACTTAAATGTGAAACCTAAAACTATAAAGTTCATCAAAGAAAAATAGGGGCAAACTTAGGGGCCCTAATTTGTAGCCTAAATAGACTATCAAGCATAACCCAAGATGCACAAACAGCAGAAGAGAAACTAGATGGTAACGACCTTCTAAAAATTAGAATCTTATATGCATCAAAAGACTTCTCCAAAAGCATAAAAAGAGAACCTACAGAATGGGAAAAAATATTTGGCAATGACGTATCAGACCAAAGATTTATATCTAAAATTTACAGAAAACTCCAACACCTCAACAATAAAAAGACAAACAATCCAATTAAAAAATCAGCAGAAGATAGGAACAGACACTTCACCAAAGAAGGTATTCAGGCAGCCAACAAACACATGAAGAAATGTTCACGATCATTAGCCATTAGAGAGCTGCAAACAAAACAATCATGAGATACTATCTCATCCCACATTAACAGCAAAGCCCAACAAGACAGAAAATAAAAATGCTGGAAAGAATGTGACAAGATTAGGACTCAAACACTGCTGATGAGACCATAAAATGATACAACCACTGTGGAAATCGATACGGTATTTCCTTAGAAAGTTAGAAATAGAAATACATTTGATTTCGCAATCCCACTTCTAGGTATATATCCTAAAGAAGTGAGAGGCAGGACACAAACAAATACATGCACATCCATGTTCATCCCAGCACTATTCACAGTAGCAAAGAGTTGGAAACAACCTAACTGTCCATCAACCAAGGAATGGATAAACAAACGATGGTACATACATACATACAATGGAATACTATGCAACCCTAAAGAATAATGTAAAATACGCAAACATCACATTACATGGATGAATTTGGAGGACATTATGCTAAGTGAAATAAGTCAATCATAGAAGGACAAATATTACATTAGTCCACTACTATAAAAAGTCAAGGACAATTTTATACATGGAAGGAAACTTTGTTTATTAGTTATCAGAGATGAGAGGTGAGGGGAGGCTAAATCCTAGATAAGTTGTTGGGGGGGAGGGGAATGTGTGTCTGTCTGTGTGTGTGTATGTGTGAGAGAGAGAGCGCTCTGGTGGCATTAGTGCCTAATGCATTTTGACTGCATATAGAAGGCTGGCAGTTCAAACTCACCAGCCACTCCTTGGAAGGAAGACTGGGCAATCTAGTTCTATAGAGACACTGCCTCAGAAACCCAAGGAGGGGTCACTATGAGTCAGGACCCGACTTGATGGCACTGAGTTTGGGTTTTTTTGGTTATGTGTTTGTGTGTGTGTGTGTATATACATATATAGATCTAAACATAAATGCTAGAACCATAAAGAGGAGTATCTTGCAATCTTCAGTAGGTGAAAGACTTCTTGGAAGCCACAAATAGCATAAACTACAAGAGAAACCCCTGCTCATCGAAAGGTAAACAAATGGAGTGCTCAATATTTCAAGAAAACATTAAAATAAAACCACAGTGAAATATCATTTCATGCTGTAAGAAGGCTAACACAAAACAGACTGCCAATAAATGTACTAGAAAGAATGTGCAACAACTATATCTCATGCATTGATGGTCAGAGTATAAAATAATACAACTTCGGAGAAAAGTGTGATAGTTTGTTTTAAAGTAAAATATATGCCTATCTTATAACCTATCTAAGGAGCTCTGGAAGCATAGTGCCTAAGCCACTTGACTGCTAACCAGAAGGCTGGCAGTTCAAACCCACTAGCCACTCCTCCTCAGAAGGAAGATGGGGCAATCTACTTCCAT